TTGATGATGCTGATGATGCCGATGATGATGCTGCTGCCGATTAGGATGATGACGATGATGATGATGATGATGATGATGATGATGATGATGATGATGATGATGATGCTGATGCCGATTCTGATGGTGCTGCTGATTATGATGCTGATGATGATGGTGGTGCTGATGATGATGCTCATACTGACGATGATGATGACGATGATGATGATGCTACGGATAATGATGATACTGCTGCTGATGATGATACTGATGCTGGTGATGCTGATGACGATTCTGATGATGATGCTGCTGAAGAAGATGATGATGATGATGATGATGATGATGATGATGATGATGATGCTGCTGCTGCTGATGATGATGATGCCGGTGACGATGACGATGACGATGCTGATGATGCTGCTGCTGATGATGCTGATGACGATGCTGATGATGCTGGTGCCGGTGATGGTGCTGCTGCCGATTATGATGCTGATGCTGATGCTGCTGATGCCGATGATGATGTTGCTGCTGATTATGATGCTGATGATGGTGATAATGACGATGATGATGCTGATGCTGCTGATGCTGATGATGCTGCTGATGATGATGATGATGATGATGCTGCTGATGATGATGCTGATGCTGATGCTGATGCTGATGCTGATGCTGATGCTGATGCTGATGATGCTGATGATGCGGATGCTGATGCTGATGATGATGATGATGATGCTGATGCTGATGATGATGATGCTGGTGATGATGATGCGGCTGATGCTGAGGAGACTGAGGAGGAGGAGGATGAGGACCAGAGTACACCCAAGAGTCATCACCGATGTTGGAATACACCCTCCTTCCAAGGTTCCTCTTCATAGGCCCCTACAAGGATTCATTTCCACTGAGGGAACTGCCTCGTTGGAAGAACCCTTTGAAGACCCTGAAGCATGCCAAACCATTGTTCTCGAGACTCCAACACCACGGATCAACCTGACTGATGCGTCTTGACGGTCCTGAATCGTGCCAGAACGCCATTCCTGGGACTTCATCACCGTGAACCAACGTAATTGTCGCACCCTCATAGTCTTGAATCTTTCCAAAACACCATTTCTGTTACGTTGAATATGGGAGCCCGTGAAACTCTGGCACATTTTGAAAACGAATGTGCGCGGCGGTAAGGCGAGAGCCATATTGTGAAAACGAACCGCTCTCAATATGTGAGACTCTTGCAAGTAAAAAAACGAAGGTTCGCGGCGCCGTGGCGAGAGCCACATTTTGAAAACGACCCGCCCTCAATTTGTGAAACTCTTGCAGATTTTGTAGATAGAATGTGCGCGGCGCCAGGACGAGAGTAACATTTTGAGAACGACCCGCCTTACGCCCAGCCCGCCCTAAAATCAGGCCTCGGAGTGCGACAGGAAAAAGTTATTTATAAGGAAACGGAAAGGAGGAGGAGGAGGAGGAAGGAGAGGAGAAGGAGGAGGAGGAAGAGAAGGAGGATGATGAGGAGGAGCAGGAGGAGGAGGAGGAGGAGGAGGTGGCGGAGGCGGAGGCGCAGGCGGAGGAGGAGGCGCAGGCGGAGGAGGAGGAGGAGGAGGAGGAGGAGGAGGAGGTGGAGGGGGAGGAGGATGAAAGAGGGGTCCCTGGAGGATCGAGGGTCGAGGTTATCGGGTTTTGTTTTTTGAGGGGGGGAGGTGGGCGTTTCCTGGGGCCCCCCGAGGGGCTCCTCGCCGCCATGTGTGCATTCCCTGCGGATTTCCGGCCAGCGCGCACCCCAGGAGCCGCCAACCCGGAAGTCACAGGAAAAGGATCCCGGAGGTCTCTCTCGCCGACCTCGGGCTCCCAGGGATCCTCTCTGGCCCCGTGGCGGTCCACACGACGGCCCAGCAGGCACCATTCCGATGCGTTCGAGCCGATTCGATTTGGAGTCCGTGGGGCTCGATCCGATTCGACTTCGATGTTCCGTCGATCCGATGTGGCCTGATAATTGCATGGCGCTGTTGTGCGCTTCGGCGCAGCCGATCCGATTCGGTTAGTACTCTGTGGCGACGCAGCCCGCCGACGCACGCTCCCATCCGATACGATTTCCCGGTTCGATGCTGGCTGGTCCTGGCCTGGGTGAAAGGCTTGGCCCTGGGGACGGTGCTGGAGGGCAATCTGCGGCCGCCACGGCCGCCTTGGCAGCCCTGGTGACACCCTGGCAGGATCACGTGTGTCAATGCCCGCGACGGGGTCAAGAGCCCCAGTCGTTTTCACGGCGTCCTTACCTTTCCACGACCTCGGATCTTGGCGATGACCAGGATGACGGGACAGTTGTCGAGGTGAGGCTGGTGATGCGGAGGCAGGCAAGAAGAGGTGAGGACGAGGAGCCAGAGGAGGACTGTGAGGAGGATGAGGATGATGATCATGATGATGTTGATGAGGAGGAGGAGGGATGGGGGTCAGGAAGAGCAGGAGGAGCAGTCGGAGCAGGATGAGGATGAGGATGGTGAGGAGGATGAGGAGGAGCAGGAGGGATGATGATGATGCTGATGATGATAATGCCGATGCTGCTGCTGATGATGATGATGATGATGATGATGATGATGATGATGATGATGATGATGATGATGATGATGATTTGGAGGAGGAGGAGGAGGATGAGGGAGGAGGAGGAGGAGGTAGAGGAGGGTGAGGGTGAGGGGCGCTGAGAGCGCGTCCGAGTCGAACACGCCTCAGGAACAAATGAGAACCCTGAGGGGCCGCAAAGCGGCGGAAATATTATGTACTGAGAGGGCGGGCGAGGGCCAGGGAAAACCGACGCCGCGAAACCGCTCCCAGGGGAGGCAAGACGAGTTACGTCTGCGCTTTGCCCTCGGGGCGCTTGGGGCGCCCTTGGCGGCCGTGGAAGATCCGATCGATCAACCCCAGCTGGTTGGCCCTCGTGCTCGGATTCTCTGAGAGCCCAGCACAAGGACGACGGAGCTTCCGAACGCTCCGAGACGTCTCGAGGGTCGTCGTGCCAGCACACTTACGGCAACAGTAGACCGAATTCACGCAGAAGACATCGTGGCCCAGAGCCGCAAACTCGGCTATGAGCTCGGTCGACCCTGAACTGTTTGAAGCCTCGCCGATCTCAGGCTGCTGGGGAGGGTCCACGGGCCCAGGAAGGGGTCCCTCCGAGGCCTCGCAAGGCCCCTCACCTAAAAAGTCCGCGACGAGCACTTGGGACGGGGCAGTGCGGGGGTCCGACGCTTTGACCCAGACCTCCCCCGAATTCTTAAACCATTCCGCACAGGCCAGGCTCTGGAGGCTAGAGGGCTCACATTTCCTTCCCGACCCAGTCCTAAGCCAAGCTAGAGTCGAGTCCGATCGAGCCGATCTCCCACATCTCCTGCACCTATGCTCCTTGAGTTTCCTGCACCACCATAGATCATGACCTGAATCACGGCCGAACAAGACTGGCTGCCCCAGAACCTCACGAGCCTCTGGATCCTGAACGGGCGGCGGAGGACCTCGGCCCCAACTCTCCGAGACAATGACACGTAAGCATGCCCACGACACAAACTGCAGCGTGGCCTTATGGATTTTCAAAGCTTCTGTGAGCGACTCCGAGATCGTGTTGGCGATCATGTGGTGCGCCGCACCTGCCTTGGCGAAGTAATCAGCCCAGGCATTGCCGAGCCAGTTCTCCAACTCCTCAGGATTATCCAGCACACTGTCGGGGTCACGGTGTGCAGGAGTCCACTCGAAACGGATTGGGTACTTGAGCACACGGCGCCGAGCAGCCTGAAAATTTCGCGCCATATCCTGGCGTGCTTGCCTCGGCCGTGCTGAAGGGATTGATCCCAAGACTTGCCCTCAGTTACCAGCCCCAGGAGGTCAGACACGAACAGCTCATGATCAGGATGAAATTCCAAACCCATTTTGATAGCATATCTCTCAGCACGGCCAACGGTCTGCACATAGAAGGGCAGCGGTCCGTACACTGCACGGGCTGGCAACAGGGTCTTGGGGTCCAGCTGGATGCATGAGTACCCACACCGCCTAGTCTCTGGAACACTGGAGGCGAAGCCCGAACCGTCGGTATAGCTCTTGGGGCCCCAAGGCCCATCGGTGTCGCCCCACAGGAGAACTTCCGAACTTATTGTGTCGAGCCCAGGGATACCCGCAGGAGGAGCGGGGGCCCCAAAGACCAGGTAATTGGACTCCCAAGCCAGACGCCCCTCATACCACTCGCCCCCCTTCAAGAGCATGCCCCTGGTTGCCTCCAAGTCCTCTGAGATGTCCAAGAAGTCCTGGCGCTGCGTGAGCAGCTCGGGGCAGTCGTAGAGCACGTGGCCCCACATACCCTGAGACTGGGCCCCACAAGCTGCACACGGCCTGATTGAGATCTTTTGACGGGCATCTTGGAGCTGAGGAATGGGGAGGTTCCCTGACCAGTGCGCCTGGAGGGCCCCAAGTCTACGAACACACTTGATACTCGTCACCGAGTTGCGTAAGCCTCGGTGCCATATCTGCTCGTCAGGCTCAGCGGTATAAAAATGCTTGAGCAGCCGCTCGTCCTGCCAACGCTGGATCCCCTGGGTGAGGACAACCTTCAGGTCGGCAGGGCACATAACACGCAAATCGAAAACATTGCCTAGATCACCAGCCACCATATGACTAGATACTAAGTTCCAACCAATACGTCGTAACGTCAACCAGCAGGCCCCGATCGGGCCCCGAGTGGTAGCCCAGGACAGCGTGCCGATCTTATCTCGGAGAGCCTCCCAAGCCCGATGTCGACGACTGTCTGGTATTCTACCGTCCCAGACCCACTCCGCAAATTTAATAACTATGGCTATTGTGGCGTGGTAGATAGGATTGTAGAATTCGCTCTTGTGGCTGATCAAGTAGGCGGTCACACCCGTGTTAAATCTGCCTGGCGCGCCGTTCAAGACGGCCGCGAAAAGACGCAGCTCTCGAAGTGCAACGTCGCTTACGCCAACAACTGCAGCACCGTGCGCCACTGATGGAAGGGCGCCTGTGCGCCACAAAGCCGTCGAGACCTTGCCGACCGCAGACTTCAGCATGGACAACCTCGCCTTCCTCTCTCTAAGCTGTTTGAGGCGCTTCTTTTCCATACCCCGATTAACCTTGGGCCCCGTGAGCTCGTGACCTAGGTTCCTCATGTGGCCCTTGTACGGGATCTTCATGGAGCCCATGTGGTGCTGCACCCCCTTCCAGAACTTCCGAGAACCAGCAACAGCCCCAGACTTCGAAGCCTTCAAGATCATGCCGAGGCCCTTGGAGTCCTGGATGAAACCCTTCGCTGCAAGCGCAAGGTACTTGGCCTCCTTGGGGTCCTGGGAGGTATGCTGGAGCCCTATATCGTCCATGAGCGTCCTCGGGGTCACCGTGGGGGAGACCTTCGAGACCCTCTGCACCGACCTATAGGTGAGCAGGTACAGGACATATGTGGCGTGGGTACACCCAGCCAGGATCCCCTGGAAGGACCGAAAAGCTCGAGAAACGCTCCCAAAGGCCCTTCTTCGACGGGGCTGTTGGTAGCCCTGAATGAGGGGCCAAAGAAGACGCAGTGGAAACCCAAGAGCCTGGCCTTCTCGGAGCAGCGCATGTGGGTCAACCATATCATAACATTTGCTCATGCCAAGTAAGATTGTACATGTATGTTCCCCCAACAACTGCGCCACCTCCTGCTGAATATTATGATCACAAGCCGAATATGTGGACGTGTGGCCCGCTCTCGTGCCCCACACCTGGTCGCACTGGTAGCCCGCCTGCCACGCTGCCGAGACTGGTCTCCTGAGCTTGCCCCAAAGGCGAACCAGCGCGTGAGATAACGCAATCAAGCGTGTGTCCCCATCTGGTTTAGGTAAGCGAACCATTTCACTGTAAACCCGCTCAGGGGGCCATGACAGCCACTGCTCGAAAAGCAAAAACATCTTGGCGATGCGCTCGAGCGCCTGGTCCGACAGAGCGTCCAGGCATCTAGGTGAAATACGGCTCGGCCCAGCTGCCGTACGCGTCGAAAACTTGCGAATGGCAGCCCGCACTTGGTGGTGGTCGAGCTCGGGCAGAGCAGGCCAGCTCTCATGGCCTGGCGGCAGCTCTGGGGGCGACAGGTCGTGGTGTCGCCAGACGCCCTCCCACACGTCGAGGGTGTGGTTTGCCAGCAGGTACGGCTGGGCGTTCACGTCAAAGTTGAGCTGCTCCTGCTTGCCGCGCACCTTGGAGGCAGCGTGGGCCTGACTGGCCCCTCCCAGGAACGCCTGCTTGGCCCAGCCGCGCCAAGCCTGCTCCGAGACCGACCTCGCTGCCTTCAACACCGCGTCGGCCTTCAGAATGATGTTGTCCAAGCCTGAGTCAAAGTCGGCGTCGCCAATCATGCCCAAGCCTCGCAGCAGAAAGTCGACGGTGTCCTGGTCTAAGTGGTGGCAGGTCTTCTTGTCGCGGGCGATCCTACGGCAGTATTGGTCCACCTCGTAGAACGCCTGCAGCACCTTGGTGTACTGCAGGGGCGTAAGCTGGCAGACCACCGAAGCCAACTGCAACCGTTGACAGAACCTGCCCAGTCGGTCACGCTCCGACCTGATATGCTGACACCATCTTTTGACCGTCGCCCACGCATAGACCTTTGGCTCGCGATAAGTACGACGGCGCGGAGGTTCCCAAGCCAACAGCTTCCACTTGAAACGCGGAGGGCCCGAACGCCCGACGAAAGAAATCGCATCATTGTCAACCTTGTCATAGCGCCCAGCCAACTCGAAGTCGACTCCATCAAGCACAGTGTCCCAAACTCGGGCAAGATCTGAAACCTCCTTCACTTCCAAGAAAATATGATCCACAGCATCCCACGGGTACGGGAACCTCGCGCACCCACATGGATGAATAACTGGGCATGCCCTCGGCTCATCTGGCACAAGACACCATGCTGGCCTATCGCTGCCCAGGAGATCAATGCTAACTGGGTAGTGCGGAGGGGGTATGGTGCCGTACGTTTCCACCACCACTGCTGTCCCGAGCCGTGACGACAAATTTGCACACGCAATGACGTAGTCAATCTTCGAGTTGCCGTCCTCCTTGCAGCGCGTGGCCGACGGTGGAGTGTAAGACAACCCAGCCAGAGACTCAATCCACCCCCTCGCATTCAGAGCTGCTATGTCAGAATTCCAGTCACCCGCTAAGATCCAGTCAAAGCCCGCAGCATTCCAGAAAGCGGCTCTCTGCGCGATGGCCCACAGTATGGAAATATTCTCACCTGTCAGACCGATGCTTGTCACCAAGTATGCACTGACCACAATCATCCCACCAGGAACTCCCCAATTGACAAAGCTGGCCACCACTCTGCCTGGATAAATAGTGGGGTCGCCGTCGGGAGGCTTCGTGATCATCACATTCGTGGGCACCAGGATTGCAACCCCACAGTGGTTGGCCTGCGGGCCCTTGGCATTGGTCGCCAAGGCTGGTGCCCACATTCCGTGGAAGCCGAGGTCCTTGGCGCGGTGCTGGAACTCCCCGAGGCGTGACTCCACGTCCTCGTCTCCTGCGCGCAAATGATCTTGGCCTTCACCACGGCCAGAACGTCGAACAGCGGGCCGAACGAGCCCGCATTCACCGACATGATTGTGCCTGCGATGGCAGGTGGAGAAGATTTGCCCTCCAACTCACCCGTCTTAGATATATCAGACCCGACGCTCACGCTACCGCGCCCGAGATCCAAATGTTCGTCAGCGGGGGCAGAGGGAAATGACGAAGCTGCGCCTGCTGCTTCATCGCGTTCGGACTTACGTATTTCCAAGGGGTTCGGGCAAATCGTGGGAACGAGGTCGTCGGCTTCCCGATCGGCATCAAGGAACTCGAACGGGTCGTACTCCCCGTCCATGTTTGATCCCACCATGGCTCCAGTAGGTCGGTACCCTCTGCCATCCAATTTCGCAGCAGGCTCGCAGCGAGGCGAAGAGGGTGAGTGGTGCGTGCCGTGGGGGCCAGGGGCCTCCCACGGTCGGTACTCTCCGCCCTCAGTTGTCCTCAATGCTGCTTGCCCGCCGACGACGGACGGTGAGCAATGCGTACCTCCTGGGGCCGAGAACGCCGTAGAAGCACGCCCCATCTGTGAAGCAGAAGCCGCGCTCTGCGAGGTACGCGATGCACGGGGTTCCACCTCAGCGCTCTGCTCGGCAAGCCGAGTGAGCGGTGCTGAGGGTAGCCAACTCGTGCCAATAGCATTCTCATCCCAAGAGACACGTGCCGATGCTGCGGAAGACGCCGCACTCTGTGACGCGCACGGTGCACGGGGTTCCGCCCCAGGCCTCTGCTCGGCAAGCCGAGTGAGCCTCCCTGAGGGTAGCCAACGCGTGCCAATAACCTCAGACTCCTCCCAAGAGACGCTTGCCCACGGTGTAGCACCCGCCGCCGACGCCGTAGTCCTCGGAGAAGTTGTAGATGAAGCTGATACCCCGCTTCGAAGGGACCCGTCATTGCTTGCCGTCATTGCCGCTGAACTGAGTAAGATACCAAGCCCAAAGTTGACGAAGCTATTGTTTGCGAGCCCGCTTGCATGCCTCGATGTACGTCGTCTGAAACCGCTTGAACCTTTCCGTGACCGCCTCGGCAGAGACACTTTCGTCCGTGGGGATTCCTGCCGCGTTGAGCGTCGCCCGCATGTCCGCCTCTTCCATCTCAATGTCAGGAGGTTCGGCTTGGTCAGGCTCTTGTGCGGGTGGTTCTGCAGTCTGGGGCGGAGGTGGCTTTGCCTGCGGCGCCTGCTGCAACTTGGTGACCGTCTCCGCCATCGCTTGCAGCCCAGCCGTAAGATCAGGCCCCAAGCCCAGAGTGCTGGCGACGCGCCCCAGCTGCTCCACCGACGCGGCGAACCCATGGAGCATCTCATGGAGCGTGGGCGGCCGCTGCTGCTCGGGCGGGCGCGCCTGGGACATGGCCTTGCGCGTCTCTTCTTCGAGCCTGACCACCTCGGCGGAGGCCTCCACGAGCTTTGCCTCAGCCTTGTCCAAGTGCCCCTGCAGCTCCTGGATCTTGGCCCTCTGCTCTTCGACCGACTTGCGCACGCTGGACTCCTGGGACCTCGCATGCTGGAGCTTGGCCGCCAACGACCGAGCTTGGTCCTCGATCGGGCGCCCGTCGAACAACTCCCGCTCCAAGGTCTCCTTCTCCTTCTTGAAATTGGCCAGCACCGTCGCGTCCTTGTCAGGCGAGAGCACGCGGATGATGCCGTCCAGTTCCTTGATGCGCTTGCGCTTGTCTTCTGCGCCATCAGGCTGTGCTTGCGCCCATGGTGGCGGTGGCGTGGGCTCGGCCTTCTCCGAGGTGAGCCGCTTGATTTGTTCTTCGAGCTGTGCACAACGAGCCGCGAGGCCTTTGTCGACTGAGCTAGGGCCCTTGGTTCCCGCAGCATGGACGCTGGGGGTTTTGCCTCGCTTGTATTCTTTGAACACCACCGACTTGTGGAGTTGACACTGCTTGCAGTACAACGTCCCTCCCGCATTGAACCACGGCTTGCCAGTGACTGAGTGGACACACGACTTGCATATCCAAGGTTCATCAGCAGCAACCCTACGAGGAGCCATGGCGCGCGCGGGAGTCTGGGCCACGGGCCTCTGTGCAGGGAGGCCGTGACTGCAATGAAGAAAGACTGCCAGGCCGCAAGCGAGCCTTGCCACGCTCGGGAAACAGAACGATCCCGTTTTGGCACGGAGGCGCGGAGCCCCCAGTGTGCATAGCTCTTGAGCCAAAATGGCTACGGAGGAGGTAGAGGAGGAGGAGGAGGAGGAGGAGGAGGAGGAGGAGGAGGAGGAGGAGGAGGAGGAGGAGGAGGAGGAGGAGGAGGAGCAGGTGGGACAGGGGATGGGGGACCAAGAGCTGGAAGGATTGCAGAAGGGGGGGAGAAGAGAATATCGAAGATAGGACGAGGAGAAGGAGGACGTTGCCGATGCTGCTGATGCTGCTGCTGATGATGATGACGACGACGATAATCATAATGATGCTGCTGATGATTATGATGATGTGGTGATGATGCTGATGCTGCTGATGATACTGATAAGGATGATGCTGATGATGCTGATGCTGATTGCGGATGCGGATGATAATGATGATCATGATGCTGATTCTGCAGATGATGATGGTGATGATGGTGGTGATGGTGTTGATGATGATGCTGCTGCTGCTGAGGATGCTGCTGCTGCTTCTGACGTTGCTGATGATGATAATGACGATGATGCGGATGCGGACGAGGACGATGATGAACATGCTGTAGATGGTGATGGTAATGGCGCTGGTGATCGTGATGAGGACGACGACGATGCCGATGATGCTTTTGCTGATGATTACGGGTACGATACTGAGATGATGGTGCTGTGTGTGATAATGGTGATACGGAGGATGATGCTCATGATGCTGATGATGATGATGCTGATGATGAGGATGAGAGTGGTGGTGCTGCTGCTGATGATGCTGCTGTTGATGTTGATATGGTCGATTACTATACTGATGATGCTGATAATGACGATGATGATGCTGCTGATGAAAATGATGATGAGGATGATGAGGATGATGATGATGATGATGATGATGATGATGGGTGATGATGATGAGGATTATGAGGATGATGATGATGATGATGATGATGATGATGATGATGATGCTGATGATGATGATGATGATGATGCTGCTGATGATGATGATGATGATGATGACTAGACGATACTGAGGATGATGATAGTGATGACGCTGCTGATGATGATGATGATGACGACGATGCTGATGATGCTGATAATGATGCTCATGGTGCTGCTGCTGATGATGATGGTGTTGTTGATGATTGTACTGATGATGCTGATACTAGCGATTATGATGACGGTGATGAGGATGAGGATCAGGATGTGGACGAGGATGATGCTGGTGATGATGATGATGACGACGAGGATGAGGATCAGGATGAGGATGAGGATGATGCTGCTGCTGATGATGACGATGAGGATAAGGATGATGATGAGGATGATGATGATGCTGATGATGATGATGCTGATAATGATGATGACGCTGATTATGATGATGATGATGATGATGATGATGATGATGATGATGATAATGATGATGATGATGATGATGATGATGATGTCGATGTCTATTATGATGCTGATGATGCTGATGATGATGATGGTGATGCTGATGATGCTGATGCTGCTGCTGATGCTGATGATGACGCTGATGATCATGTTGATTATGATGATGATGACGATGCTGATGCTGATGCTGATGCTGATGCTGCTGCTGATGACGATGATGATGCTGATGATGATGCTGATGCTGCTGCTGCTGATGATGATGATGACGATGATGATGGTGGTGGTGATTCTGATGCTGATGATGATGATGCTGATGATGATGATGGTGATGATGATGTTGATGATGATGATGATGATGATGATGATGATGATGATGATGCTGATGCTGATGCTGATGCTGATGATGATGATGATGATGATGATGATGATGATGATGATGATGATGATGATGATGATGATGATGATGATGATGATGATGATGATGATGATGATGATGATGATGATGATGATGATGATGATAAGGCCATAACGGTCTGGGAGCGGTGCTCGGCGCAGCCGTTATGAATTATCGTGCACACCCGCGGTGCCCTCGGGCCCCGCCGAGGAAGAGGGGAGGGGAGGGGCGCACTGTCGCGCCGCTCAGCGGCTCGGGTCCCCCGCCTCCGAGCCGCGCCCACAAGAACGGCTGCGCGGGCGCCTCAGCGGCAAAGTGCGGCCGTCCCCCAGCACGGCACCCGCTCCTCCCCGCTCGGGGTGCCGCCCCAGCCGCATCCTCCTCAGCGCGGCGGCCTGGCGGGCGCTAGCCCCGCCCGCGCACGGACTTCGGAGCGCGACCACACGGGCGCCGTCCGCGCAGCAGCCGCAGACCGCGCAGTAGACGAGGCGGTGGGACCCCTCGCCGATCGTCCAGGGGCGGTGCGACTCGTCGAAGCTCACGTGCCACCAGCGTGGGAGCGCGTCCTCGGCCGCGGCGCCAGCCGCCCCGCTGCTCTCCTCCTCGTCGCCGTCGTCGTGCCGGGCCCTTCCGCGGGCCTAGGCCGCCAGCGCCGCTGCCGCCAGCGCCGCTGCGGCGGCCACGCCCGCGCCCTCGGCGCCTCGGCGGCTCGCACTGGTGGAAGTCCGTGCGCGGCCGCGCCGCGGGTCGGCGTCCTAGCCAGGGACTCGGCGCTTCCGTCCGGCCGTCTGGGGCCCAGGCGGCCCGCCAGCGGTGTCCCCGCGGTGGCATCCGCTGGCCCGCCTGGGACGGGCGTGCCGTCCGAGCGGTCCGCGCAGGCGTCGCAGAGCCAGCGTGTGCCGCTCGCGTCCGAGACCGCCGTACTTTGCGCGCCGCAGGGCCAGCGCCTGCAGCCTGGCCCGCCGCCGCCCGCAGCTGCGCCCGCAGCAGGTGGACTCTGCCGCGCCCGCGTCCGCGCCGTCGGCCGCCGTGAGGGCGGTGCTCCCCAGCTGCAGCGCTTCGCCGAGCCAGCGGACCGTCGCCGCTGCAATCGCGTCGGCCAGCTCGATGCGCTCCATCGCCGCCTCGCTCATGGGGTGGAGCTCCGCGCCCTTTTTGGCGAAGCCGTCCGCGGCGCGGTTGCCCTCGTAGTCGTCCAGCCTGGTGTGACCGTCGTGGACGGAGCGGAGCGTGGCGTGCCCCTTCACTTTGGTGACCCGCACGCGCTGCTGGCCGCCGAAGCTGTCCACGGCCTGCCAGAAGTGGCGCCGCACCTCCATGTGCGGGCGGTCCCATGCACAGCGCCAGGCCTTGCCCGCTGCAAAGCCCGTCACGAGCAGCTTGCAGTCCGTCCTGATTTCTGGGATGCCGTCCGCGCCTGGTTAGGCCCCAGCGCAGGGCGCGGGCGGCGGCCATGATCTCGCCCGCGTTCGCGTCCTGCGGCAGGTGGGCGGGGGCGCATCCCCAAGCGCCGTGCGCCGCGCCGCGGGCCTGCAGCGCCGCGAGCCCCCAGCCAGCGCGCACCTCGGGCGACCCGGCCTTGCCATGCATTGCCGAACCGTCGGTGTACAGGACGTTGGCGCCTGCCGAGGCCGCGTAGCCGTGGCTGCTGCTCCACCGTGCCTCCTCGATCTCCAGCGGTGGCGGGAGGGCGGCCGTCTGGTCTGGTCTGGGAGGGGCGCTCTCGAGTAGCGGGGGTCCTCGCTGTCGGAAGCCTCGGCCACGTCGGCAAAGGCCTGCAGCGCCTTGTCCCCCGCGATGGCGTCGCGCCTCTCCGCCGCAAGGTCGGGGCGCTGCCGGGCGAGGTGCCGCGCCGTGCCGCGGCCGCCGCATCCTGCGGGGCAGGCCCCCGAGCGGCGCAGCGGCGGGTCGAGGGCAGCTCGGCGGGCCACTGGCCAGAGCCCGCCGAAAGCCGCGTTGCGGGCGCTGGACCACCGCGCCCGCTGCTCGGGGGTTGCCTTGGCGCCGAGCAGCCGCCGTCGGAGGCCCCGGGTGGCTGCGCCGCTGGCCGCGCGCTCGAGGTCCGCGTCGCGGGCTCCGGCCCCGCGCCAAAGCCACCGCGGGTGCGAGCCGCGGACGTGCTTGCGGAGCGTGTGGCCGCCGATCTCCTCGAGCTTCAGCGTCGTGTCGTTGTCCACGGTCCAGCGGTGCGCCGCCGTGGCACTTCGGCCCAGCCGCTCGAGCACGAGCAGCGCCGCTGCCGCTGGGCCGCGCCCCGCCAGCGCGCCAGGCCCCTGCTCGAGGCGGACCTGCGCGGCGTGCCGCCACGCCCGCAGCGCGTCGTAGGTCGTGTCGGGGCCAGGGCCCGCGCGAGCCCGCGGCCCCAGGCCAGGAGCGCCTGTTCGGCCTGCGAACGCCAGGGGTCTCGCCAGGGTGCAGCGGCCAGTGCGAAACCCGCCTGCAGCGAGCGGCCCGGCGCGTTGCCGAAGGTGAGGGATCCGACCGCCGATCGCCACTGTTCGAGCTCGCTCGTGGACCAGGCCTGGGCGCAGCAGCCGTGAGCCGTCGTCGGGGGGAGGCCGCCCACGAGTTGGCGCATGGCCGCGCTGATGGGCTGGCGTCGCGCGCCCCCCGCCCGCCCGAGCTGCTCTCTGGCCTTGCGCGCCGCTTCCTCGCCGCTTCGGCCGGGCCGTCCAGGCAGAAGTCCGCGCCCAGGTTCTTCGTGGCCTTCGTTTGCTTGGCGCTCAGAATGCTGGATCTCGTCGCGCGCCAGCGGGTCAGTTGCCGCCGCCTCCGTTTTGGTCGCCGAGATCCTGCAGCCGAGCGCGGTCAGACCCGCGGCCACCGCGAGCCCTGCCTCCACCGAGTGCCTCGCGATCTGCCGCGGGGCACGCCCGTGGCAGGCCGCGGTGTTGTCGTCGTAGAAGCTGTGCATGTCGGGCTTCGTGTCACCGTCGCTGCAGGCGCCGCGCTCCTCGGAGTGCGCCCTCGCCACGGGTCGCATCGCCGCCTTCAGAGTCCTCCCCGCATGTGGGCAACCAGCCAGCAGGCCCGCGTCCAATGTGCGCGCCTCGGCCACGATGGCCCCCGCGCACATGCGTCGGCGCCCGCGGTAGGTTGGCGCGGCGCAGCGGGCCAGGCGGCCGTGCAGGCCCGCTCGGCGGGCCAGGCGCTCAGCGTGGGTGAGCCGCGCCGTCTCGTGCGCCTTCTCGAGGTCGACCAGCAGCGCAGCCCCATGGAGCTGCCGTGCTCCCGCTGCCTCGGCCGCCAGCGCCCGGCGCCGCGCGGGCTCCTGGGCCGAGCTCCCAGGGCCGCCCCAGAAAGCGCCGGCGCCGCTGCCGCAGAGGGGGGCCTCCCAGCGCCGCGCCTCGGCCTGGCTGAGCCTGTTCCAGATCCTCGGGGTGCTGGAGAGCGCCCCGATGGGTCGCCAGCCTCCCGTGGGCTTGGGCAGCGTCGCGATGAGTGACGCCCGCGCCGCCAGTGGCCAGTCGCCCCGCTCCTCGGCCGCCGTGTCGATGTCCACAAATATTTCGGCCGTGGCCTCGGACACCTGGGCGAAGGCGCGGGGCGAGACGCGGTCGACCCCCGTGCCCGTGCGCTTCGCGAAAGCCTTTGCGGCGTCCAGCCGCTCGGCCGCCGCCGGTCCGGGTAGCGCCTCCGAGTCCGTCTGTCGCTCGAAGTCCTGCCGCCCGTCCGACCCGTCGTCCGCGCTCCAGACCTCGTGCGCCCAGTGCCTGTCGACCGCGTCTACCTCGCACTTGCCCGCCTTCAGGGCTCCTAGCATGTCCAGCTCGTCCCCGAGCCAGCCGCGTGGGCCGCGCCGCCGGGCGTGGGGCCCGCCTGCGCCGTGCTAGAGCGCATCCGGCACCCACTTGTGGAAGCGCTCGTGGCGGCGGCGGCTGTGCTCGGCGGCCAGCGCGGCTGCCTCGGCACGGGCTTCGGAGGCCAGCGCCGCCAGGGCATCGGCGGTCGCGACGGCCACGGCCGCCAGCGCGGCAACGCATCGGGCGCCGCAGCACTTGGCCGCCCGCGCGGGCACGCGCCGCCGCGTGCGGCGCTGCGCAGCGGCGTCGCCCAGGTAGTCGGCCACGGCGAGGAGGTGCCGTGCCTGCCCACTCGACTTGGGGCCGCCCGAGATCTGCGGGTGGGCGGGCGTCGGGCTCGCCCGGCGCTCCTCGGTCTCCTGGCCGCATCTGCGGGTGGGCGGGCGTCGGGCTCGCCCGGCGCTCCTCGGTCTCCTGGCCGCGCCCGCAGTGCGCCTGCGCCTCCAGCGGGTCGTCGACGTGGTAGGCGCAGCACGTCTCTGCCTCGGCCTGGCGCATTGCCCCGAGGTAGGCCGCCTCGAGCGCCGCTGGGGATGACGCCGCCGAGGCCGTCAGCGCCTGCAGGTCGGCCGACGGGGGTGAGGCCTCGCGCCGCGGGCCGATGGGCAGCCCCCTCGGGGATGCTCTCGGCTGCCTCAGGGCCCGCGCAGGCGCGATCTCCATGCGCGCGTTCAGCGCGAGCTTGACCGCGCAGTGGGGCCTGAAAAGGCCCAAGGGTGACCGCGCTGCAGCTCCTCGCGGACTCAGCCAGGCTGCGATGCACGATGAAGTAGTCGAGGTTGGTGGGCGCAGCCGCCTGGAAAGCAGGTCTCGCCTTCGGCCGACTGCGCGATGGCGCCCTGGACCGCCTCCAGCCACCAGCCCGCCTTCGCCTTGAAAGCGTCGGGCGCGGCGTTGAAGTCGCCGCCGATGACCCAGGGCCTGCTCTGCCTAGGAGACCAGCGCGTCGCCGATCTCGACGAGGGCGCGCTTGGGCGCCTCCGCCACCGCGTCGTTGGCGAGGTGGATGCTGCCAACGGAGAGGCCGCCGCGGCGGACCGCGCCCGTCACGGCGACGATGCCGCGCCAAACGCTGCAGGTCACGCGGCCGCCGCCCGCCGCGCTGGCGTTGGCCAGGCCGCGCGTGGCGGGGAACGGCGACCCCGGCGCCGCCCGTGGCCGCGCGGGCGCCTTTCGCGCCGCCGCTGCCAGCCGCGCCAGGCGTCCGGGCGGCCTTCGCCCCTGCGAGCCTGCGCCGCGCCTCCTGGGTGATGATGTCGCGCGCGTGGAGGTGCGTCTCCTGGACGAGCCGCGCATCCGCGCAGCGGCTCTCGACGAACCCAGCGCCCGCCACCTCCTCCTGCCAGAGCTGGGCGATCGCGCCCCAGCCCGACCCGCGGACCGTCATGATCTCGAAAGTGTCCCTGCGCCACGGGCGGGCGCGCCGCTGCCGTGCTGGCCGCCGCGGGCCTGCGCCCGCAGGGCGGTCGGGGCGGCTGCCGCCCCCCCTGCGCGGGCCCGCCCCCTCGGCGTCGCGCTCGGGCGCTGTGCGGGCGGCAGGGCCGCTCGCTGGGATCAGCGCGTCGAGGCGCAGGGGGGCGAGCGCGCGGCCGCTGTCGCTTCTTCTTGGTGACCCCTCCGCTGCCGCCGCTGCGGCGGTCAGCAGCTTTGGCGCGGGCTGCGGCGGTGGCGCCGCGGGTCTTTTCGCGGCGGAGGCCCGAGGAAGGGCGGTCGCAATTGCCGCCGGGGCCCGCCAGATCCGCAGCCAGGGCCGACTCCAGCGCGTCGTCCATCGCCGCGTCCGCCGCTTCTGCCTCCTCTGGCTGGCCAGGACCTCGACGGGCTCCGCGCTGGCGCCGCCTCCTGCGCGGCGACGCTGGCGGTCTTCTGCTCGCCCCGCTCCTCGACGGGCGGCGCCGCGGCTGCGACCTCGGAAAAGGGGGCCTGGCCCGCCGCCGCGGCCTTGAGGTTGCCGAGGGACTCCAGGAAAAGCCGCCCTCGCTCAGCAGGCGTGGCGGCCTTGGTCGCAAGCTCCGCCAGGTGGGGCGCCGCGACCTTGGCACGCTCCGCGCTGACGGCGGCGCGCTCGCCAAGCACTGCCTCGAGCTCCTTCTCGGCGTTGGCGACGGCCTCCACCTGCCCCTGCTTCGCCGCGCTCCGCTTGTCCAGCTCGCCGACCTTGCTGTCGATGACCCCGGCTGCTCGTGCGGTGGCTTGGCCAAGCGCTGCTCTTCCTGGCTGCGGGCCATCTCGCTGCGGTAGGGCGCCAGGAGCGACGCCGCCGTGGC